TAGAGCTAATTTACACAACATCACCTTGCAATTCATGCTTGGCTTTGCACAACACACCTGCTGGGTGTGTACACATTACAAAGGTGTTTAGATTCCACCCATAGATCATGCTGGGAGGGAACACACTGCAGAGGTGTATACACGTTCGTGGTGTGTTTATAAGGTTAGTAAATCAACCCCCATGTAACTAATTTATTGTTCTGGTTGCACTAAAACACTTTAAGATAACATCTCATTGTTATGGCTAATTGTATTGTTCTTTTATTACAGGTATTTATAGTGCTTTACATGCACATTCACATAAGTTCCTGCCCTTAAGGAGCTTAAATCTAAGGTCCCTATCTCGCATGCATACATACCAGTGCCAATGTAAAGAGGAGCCAATTGACCTACCAGTATGTCTTTGGAGTGTGGGAGGAAACCGGAGTACCTGGAGGAAACCTACACAAGCACAGGGAGAACATGCAAACTCCTTACACATAGTGACCTGGCTGGGATTCCAACCAGAGACCCCCAGTGCTACAAGGCAGAAGGACTAAACTCCTCACCGACAAAGGATATCAATGCACTTTGTGTGCCTCAAATGCCTTTGTGAATCTAGCCCCCCCCCACCAGGAAGAAATGTGCCTTTAATATCAGTGTTTGAGGAAAACATATTATCAGTTAAGTCACCTTTTGGGAGTATTCTTCCTCCGCCTTTCTACGATTTTCTTCTGCCAAATGTTCATACTGAGCCCTAGTGTCATTCAAGATTTTCAGGATATTGACACCTGGAGCAGCATCCATCTGAACTGTCACATCACCAGAGACACCTTGCAAGTCCTTCATCTCCTGGACATCAATTATAAGTTAAATAATTAATAACCAATGCCCCTGGAAACAGGTCTCCAATAAATTATCTTCCATGTGAACTCTACAAGCAGTAGTAATAAAATAATTAAGCTCCTGAACATTATATAGTAACATAAGGCTTTGGTGGGTCAGCACCAGAGAAATATGTCATCTATGTACCTATGGCAGTATGAAGTCTAGTCTTATGCTACTAGTTGGCATACACTACACAAATCTGTCTAAGTATCAGCTAAAGTATTTCTCACCAATACATGTTTTTTCTTGCAGTAGGCAAGTTCTTCTCTTAGGCTCTCAATCTGGCTTTCAATGCTGGATTTGTCCAAAGTCAAGTCATCCAGAACTTTACGTAAACCATTGGCATCTGATTCCACACCTTGATATAGGCAGCGTTCACTGTCAAACCTGGAAAACACACATCATGATTATTTTCATTGCTGATTGAGAGAAAAATATTTTGGCTGAAGTATTCCTTTCGTACCTGGAACTGTTGACCATGACAACAATCTGTAATGCAGTATTCTCTCTATCACTAAATATGCAATCACTTGTATTAGTATAGTACATAAGTAAAACTTCTCATTATTGTACATACGTTAAAATGTCTTAACTAACAAAACACACAAACATTTGCAGTGAATCAATTCTGTAATTATTTTTTTTTCTTTTGGGTGAAGTGGGGCCGGGTTTTTAGTGTTGTTTGCAATCTTTGCGGGAAGTTCTCCCCAAACCTTATCACTGGCCTCCAAGTGGATCTCCGAAAGGGAGAGAGAATGAATTAAAGAGAGGAACTAGGATAGGGGTGAAAACATGCTCCATTACACTCAAAACTATAAAAGCATACAGCTTAGATCCACTTTGATGTGGAGATCACTTTAGTAAATATTTCCAAATACTTGAATTTACTGCTATAGCTGTATTCTGAAGGGCTGCCGTATCATAAATTGCCAGCAGGTGGCGCTGTGTACCTAAAAAACTAGTTTTCGTTAGCGCTCCATGATTTAATTATTTTATTCCATTTGTTGTAGCAGAAATGACACACCACAGATTTCTGCGAAGGGTTTTAGGAGTGCGAGATGAATGTTTATATATAAAAAAATATTTATTTTTAAGCCCATTTCCCACAATGCTTCACTATGTAAAGTTATGGCAAAGCTAAACTCCAGGAACGAAAACTTTAATTTAAATACATTCTTTATTAGCCACAATAAAACAATAGAAGAATATAAATTCTATTTGTGTGCACCAAAAGCCTTTGCCAACCCAGATTGCCATGCTGTTGCATAGTCTGTGCAGGCCCACTAGGCCACACCCACTACAGGTGGGGGCAGAGGCAAGACCAGTCACCCTGCACAAGGAGAGAGAGAGCAGCAGTGACCGGTCTTTATTACAGAAGAGGGCATAGACAAGACCAGTCACCCTGCACAAGGAGAGAGAGAGCAGCAGTGACCGGTCTTTATTACAGAAGGGGGCATAGACAAGACCAGTCACCTTGCACAAGGAAAGAGAGCAGCAGTGACCAGTCTTTATTACAGAAGGGGGCAGAGACAAGAGCAGTCACCCTGCACAAGGAGAGAGAGCAGCAGTGACTGACCGGTACTTATTACAGGAAGTCCAACACAAAAGCAAAGTTTTACACTGGATTACTGCACGGATCTGGAAGAAATACATAAAGCTCACCAAGATTCAAGGAATAATACACATGACTCTTGAATGTAGACAATTTTTCCTTATCCTGGAGTTCAGGGTCAAGAAAATATTTTTCCTAAATTAATTTCCTACCTGGACTTCCTGCCGGTCACAGCACTTCCTATTTCAGACTGTCAAGACTAAGCCACTGCTTTGCAATATAACAGTGTTATCAGTCTGCCATGAGTGTACTTTCAGTTGGCTGTTGCAGTGGCGTAACCAGAGTTATGGGCGCCCGGGGCAGAACATTTTTTTT